ACAATACAATACAATACAATACAATACAATACAATACAATACAATACAATACAATACAATACAATACAATACAATACAATACAATACAATACAATACAATACAATATAATTAAAATCAAATTCAGACAAAAACGACCGTCGGCACAAATTCATGCCTATGGTACCGATACTGTTCGACCAGTATCAGTACCCTTATACCAAATATCCCTCTTTTTCTCTTGAAGTATCGGTACTGGATGAAGCAGTACCGATACTGAAGCCTAGATTTTCACATTTTGACCCCGAAAATTTACTCATTTCAACTTAAATCCTTCATGTCTTAACCCCTTCTATACTCTTAACTCAAGTATACATACACAAACCAATTTATATGCATTTAACACCTCTTTATCTTCAAAATCTCATCATCTATATGGAAATCAAGAATCATACCAAATTTTCAACATGTTCTAATTTCAATTCTATCACTTCATATTTCTTAATTCAACTAATGACAAGTCAAATTTAGTTTCAAATTCCACTTATAAACTCTTTTCTAAGATTTCATTTAAAGGCTCCTTACCTTTAATCTATCCTAACTCCTTCATCTTTTGATTTGAAGATAACTAACAATAAAACTCACCTTTCCAATGGCTTTCAGGTATGAAGAATGAAGAAGAAGAAGATAACTCTGGAACTTTAACTTTGCCTCCCTTCAATTCCACGTGGGTTTAAATATAACCACTACTAAATTTAATTATTTTCTTCACCAAATGACCATTTTGTTCTTCTATTCATCCTTCTTTGTAATTTAATCCTACACAAAATTTCCCATATAAGTCCCTGAACTATTTAATTTATCTATTTTAGTCAATAAGTTCTAAAATTTTACAATTTGGTCACTAACCCGGTATTGAGGATGTTACACACAATGTTGGAAAAATATGAATGAATTGATTTATTCAATCATGACTATTTAACATCTCTATTTATGAAAAATAGTTAAGTCTTTTCATGAAAAATAGTTAAATCATTTCACCCAAAAAAGTCAAGTCTTTTCATTTTAACCTTTTCATCAGAAGGTTATAATTTTTAATTAAATGGTTAAGTCATTTCATTTAAAGGCCTTAACCTTTCAATTCAAATTCCTCTCCCTATATAAAGGCTATGTTGTGACACATCTCAACATGCAACTTTTCAAATTTTCTTTCAAATAATTTCCTTTCAATTATCCGCTTTTTCCAAAGTCATTTTCCGGTGATAGATAAAGACAAAGATTTGATTCAATTGTTCACTACGGTTGTGCTTATTGTTGTGAACATTTTTTGTTGTATCCTGGGAGACCGACGTCCAATGTTACTCAAAGCACCAAAGAGATGATGAATTTGTCTTAAGGAAATTGTTCATACATGCCTCAACAAAACTCTTCTTCTATTTATTCAGTTCCATCCGATTACATGTTCTATTTTAAATTCACAATTTTTTAGCTTTATTATTGCAACAAAAATTTTAGATTATAATACTACAACACTAATTTTCAATATTTGCGACAATCTTAAGACAAATTTCTTGTGTTGTAGTTCAATATAAACTCAAACAAATTACTGTGGTAATATATTTAGGTTAATATATATTTCGTTTCATATTATATTTATTATTTCAATTTTGATTCCAATTACAGAAAATGTCTGATACTTCATCTAATTCATAGTTTAATGTGATTGTCGCTACACAAACTCAGGCTACGAGCCAAATGTTACCTATGACCATGAGTTATAATGAAAAACCTACGAAATTAAATGGAGAAAATTTCAAAACGTGGCAACAGAAAATGTTGTTTTATATGACGACATTGAATATGGCTAAATTTTTTAAGGATGATCCTCCTATTATTAGAGATGATAAAGTGAATGCTGCAACCGCATTCAACATTACCGAGGCATGGAAGCACTCTGATTTCCTATGTTGTAACTACATCTTGAATGGTTTACCTGATGCACTTTATGAAGTATATAACATAAAGAAAACGGCTAAGGAACTATAGGAATCATTGGGCCATAAATACAAACCTGAAGATGATGGTGCTAAGAAATTCTTAGTTGCCAAATTCTTAAACTTTGTAATGGTTGATTCTAAAATTGTTGTGAATCAGGTACAAGAATTCCAACTGATCATTTATGGTATTCTCTCATAAGAGATGATTATAAGTGAATCCTTTCAGTTGGTGGCCATTATTGAAAAACTTCCGCCTTCTTGGAATGACTTTAAGAATCATCTTAAGCAAAATAGAAAAGAAATGACAGTGGAAGATCTGATTTTGAGATTTCGGATTGAAGAAGACAATCGATATGCGGCTAAAAGGTTAAATAAAACAGCCAATCATAACATTGCCAAGGCAAATGTGGTAGAGTTCAAAAAGGACTTCAAGAAAAGAAAACAAGCTCAAATTGAGTCTAAACTAAAACCAAAAGGCGATGTTTCTAAGAAGCAAAAATTCCATGGGAAATGCTTTAATTGCAATAAGACATGAAACATGTCATCCGAATGTAGGCTTCCAAAAAGGTCCAGAACAAAAGATGCTAATGTTGTGACAGAAATTTCCAATGAAGTATCTAAACTTGACCTATGTGTTGTGGTCTTTGAAGTTAACTTGGTTGATTCAAATCCAAGAGAATAGTGACTTGATACTGGTGTCACACACCATATTTTTTATGACAATGACTCCTTTGCTGAGTTGGTTTCTTGTGAGAAAGGAGAAAATCTCTATATGGGCAACACTGCAACTTCCAATATCAAGGGGAAAGGCACTGTAATTTTAAAGATGACTTTTGGCAAAGAGTTGAAACTTCAAAATGTGTTGTATGTGCCTGACATACGAAATAACCTTGTCTCTGGGACCCCTCTTAAGTATACATGGCTTTAGGATGGTGTTTGAATCTTAGAAGTTAGTTTTATCAAAAGAGGGAATATTTTTGGGAATGGGATATATATTGAACAATATGTGGAAACTCAATGATATCTCTGTAAAAGCTAAAAATATAAATAAGAATGATTCTTATTCTTCTATTTATATGATTGAGTCACTAAATTTATGGCATGGTAGACTCAGACATATTAATTATGATACTTTACGTAGATTAATTAACTCAAAACACGTTCCCCTATTTCACATTAATTATAATCATAAATGTGAAACATGTATTGAAGCTAAACTAATAAGGTCTTTATTTAAACCCGTTGAAAGAAACTCAAAACCTCTTGATCTAATACACAGTGATGTTTGTGACTTAAAATTTGTTCAAACTAGAGGAGGGAATAAATATTTTATTACCTTTATTGATGACAGCACAAAATATTGCTATGTATATTTTTGCTTAAAAGCAAAGATGAAGCTATAGAAAAATTTATTCTTTATAAGCAGGAAGTTGAAACCCAACTTAACAAAATGATTAAAAGGGTGATAAGTGATCGTGGTGGTGAATATGTTGAACCATTTGGTCAATGTTGTGCACAACATGGTATTATTCATGAAGTAAGACCACCATACTCTCCTCAATCGAATGGAGTAGCAGAGCAGAAAATTTGAACATTAATGGAAATGATGAACGGTATGATAAGAAGTTCTGGGTTGTCACAAAACATGTGGGGGAAGTTGTCTTATCAACGAATTACCTTTTAAATAAGCTGCCCCACAAGAAAAAGACAAGACACCATATTAGTTGTGGATAGGCAAGAAACCCTCCTACAATTACTTGAAAGTGTGGGGGTGTCTTGCAAAGGTAATGACTCCTTTATCAAAACAAATGAAAATAAGTCCTAAAATGGTGGATTGTATTTTCATTGGTTATGCTCACCACAACATTGCATATCGATTTCTTGTGCATGAATCAAAGAATCCAGAAATTCACAAGAATACAATATTATAATATAAAAATACCTTATTCTTTGAAAATATATTTCCTTGTAAAATTAGAGAAGTTGGCTCGAGTTCAAGGAAACAAACTTTAGAAACTATTAATGAAAATAGTCAAGACTTCCAACAAGAGGTTGAAGTCAAGATAGAGCCAAGAAGAAGTAAAAGGGCAAGAGTAGAAAAATCCTTTGTATCGGATTTTCTAACATATATGATAGAGACTGAACCTATAACTTATAGCGAAACTATGCGTTTATCTGAAAGTAATTTTTTGGAAAGATGCCATCAAGAATGAAATTGATTCCATCATGCAAAATCATACGTGGAAATTAGTGGATCTTCCTCATGGAATTAAAACATTAAATTCTAAATGGATTTTCAAACGAAAAATGAAAGCAAATGTAACAATTGATAAGTACAAGACCAGATTGGTTATTAAAGGGTACCGACAAAATAAAGGTCTTGATTACTTTGATACATATTCACCCGTATCAAGAATAACCTCTTTAATAATGATACTTACAATTTTCACTTTACGGAATTTAAAAGTACATCAAATGGATGTTAAGACTAGTTTCCTTAATGAGGAAATTTACATAGAACAACCTGAGGGTTATGTAGCTCCAGGACAAGAAAAGAAAGTATATTAGTTGGTAAAGTAATTATATGGACTTAAGCAAGCACCAAACCAATGCCATGAAAAGTTTGATAGTGTTATGATATAAATGGATTTAAAATAAATGAATGTGACAAAAGTATGTATGTCAAAACCACTGTTAATGGATATGTAATCCTATGCATGTATGTTGATGACATACTCATTGTTGGAACTAACAATGAAATGATAAAACGCACCAAAAATATGTTAAATTCAAAATTTGACATGAAAGACATGAGACTTGCTGACATGATTTTGGGCATCCAATTCAAAAAGGTCATCTGAAGGTCTCATATTGACTCAGTCATACTATATAGACAAGATTCTTGAAAAATTTGGCAAGGATGATTCTGGTGTAGCCAAAACTCCGATAGATAAAATCAACATCTATCTAAAAATAAAGGTGAAAGTGTTAACCAAGTGGAATATGCAAGGATCATAGGCAATCTAATGTACCTTATGAGTTGCACTAGACCTGATATTGCTTTCACTAGAAGCAATTTAAGCATATTTACAAGCAATCCAGGGGAGAAATACTGGAAAGCAATTGTGAGGGTATTGAGATATCTCAGATATACTCGAAACTATGGATTACATTATTCTAGAGATCATGTTGTGTTAGAAGGATTTTCTGATGCTAGTTGGATATCTGATATTCAAGATACCAGAGGCACAAGTGGTTATATTTTCACATTGGGAGGAGAAGTTGTGTCATGGAAATCTTCCAGACAAACAATTATAATCAGATCCACGATGAAATATGAGTTTGTAGCCTTGGATAAAACTGGAGAAGAGGTAGAATGGATACAAATTTTTTTGGAGGATATTCGTGAATGACCAAAGCATATACCCAAAATATGTATATATTGTGATAACCAAGCAACAATTGATAGAGCACAAAATGTAATGTATAATGATAAGTTAAGACACATGCGACGTCGACACGATACCATTAGACAACTGATCTTAATTGGAGTTATCTCTATTGATTTTGTAAGATCAAAAGATAACATTGCGGATCCGCTAACCAAAGGGTTGAATCGAGATCAAGTTGATAAAATATCAAGAGGAATGAGACTAAAGTCCATGAATTGTTAAGGCTCTATGTGAAGGAAAACCGAACCTAGTTAACTGGAGATCCCAAGATCTAGGTTCAATGGGACAACCTACTTGCATAGACCTGGTGAGGTTACTGTGGGGGGTTTTATCCGCAAGCCCATTCCTATGATGAAAATAATGACTAAAATGTGGACGAGGTTAAGCAATGCTTTTAATGACCAATATGTGTTTCGTTGAACCGAACAACATAAGTCACCTATGTGAGAGACAAGTGGAGTCGCTTCAAAGAGATTATTGGGCATAATTCTCTAAGCTCTTGCAGAACCGGGAGATGTCCACGGCTATATGGACAACCATGAAAACCAAACTCTTGTTAGTGAGATATTTGTGTGAGGTATGTCATCGTTTACATAAACGGTAGGATAGTTCAAGGACATCACATCTACTGGACAACCAGTAAAGTAAACATATTTTCATAAGGGAAGGTTCAAAGAGGGATGCCTACCTATCATATGCAAATATCGAACGTAGAATCTATCACCACATTGAGTCACTGTTTTAAACGATCAAATTCATTCATGTGGGGGATTGTTTAAAAAATATGAAAGAATTGATTTATTCAATCATGACTATTCAACATCTTTATTCATGAAAATTAGTTAAAGTCTTTTCATGAAAAATAGTTAATTCATTTCACCAAAAAAGTCAAGTCTTTTCATGTTAACATTTTCATCAAAATGTTATAATTTTTAATCAAATGGTTAAGTCATTTTATTTAAAGGTCTTAACATTCAATTCAAATTTCTCTCACTATATAAAGACTAAGTTGTGACACATCTCAACACACAACTTTTCCAATTTTCTTTCAAATATTTTCCTTTTAATTCTTCGATTATTCCAAAGTCATTTTCCGGTGATAGATAAAGATAAAGATTGTGTTCGATTGTTCACTACGGTTGTGCTTACTGTTGTGAACGTTTTTTGTTGTATTCTGGGAGACTGACGTCCAACGTTACTAAAAGCACCGAGGAGAGGACAAATTTATCTTGAGGAAATTGTTCATACATGCCTCAACAAAAATCTTCTTCTATTTATTCAATTCTATCCGATTACAGGTTTTATTTTAATTTCACAATTTTTTAACTTTATTATTTCAACGGAAATTTTATATTATAATACTACACCACTAATTTTCAATATTTACAACACACAAGTTCATTTCGGCTTTTCAGAGATGTCAAGTTAGGAATGGGGAGACTATGCCCCACAGTACATCAATAGAGGTGAAAACTCATAAATTTATCGTCATTGTTATTGTTCGTGTTTGTGCAGACGTAATACTTATGATTGTATTTATTGATAAAATTAGTATAATTTTTATATCTTGAAATTTTTTTCTCTTATTTGAATTTTTTCTTTTCTTTTGTTTTGACTATTTTTTATTTATTTTGTTTTTAACTTAGTTATAAATTAAAAAAAAAAACAAAAAAAAACTATTATCCTCATCCTCTGTTAACGATAATAATTTATTATAAATCATCAAATTTATACAAAACTCTAATAAATCACCGTCATTTCACTAATATTTAAGGTGTAATAGTTTTCTCGTTCATCCGAAAATAATCGATTAATTCTGTAACAAAAAACAGTAAAAAGGAGAATGACGGTAAAGAAGAAAGAGCCAGTTGAAATAGGCCACTCTCCAAGCCTCGTTTATGGGGCCACGGTCATCCGTTTTCACTTCTCTCGAGATTTTCTTTTTCATACTTTTTGTACTTTAACTTTCATTTAGTGTCTTATTTTTTTATTTATTTTCTAAAGCCACACATCCCTTTGTTCTCTCCATCGAGGGAAATAGAGAGAAGCAACGGGAAATCCCCATGGCGGAACTAGAAGTTACCAAGGTGCTGATATGATTAAGCGTTATATTGGGTTTGACGAAGTTTTCATCAAAAACCCCAGGTGCCAATCCCCTTACTTTCCTTTATTTTGTTTATACTGATCTTCTTTAACTCTTCCTTCATTCCCTTTTTTTTAATCCTCTCAATTGCTTTGTTTCACTTTGAACTGATCTATTTGTTAACCTTTTTTTTTGGCTTAAAGCTGTCTGGCTTTATGTTTTTTTTATTAGTTTTCAGAGTTTTAATTGGGATCTGGGTTTTATATTAGTTTTATAACGGTTCTTTTTGTTCTGTTTTGGGATTTTTAATGTTTTGTTTTCCGTTTCTACTTGTAGGGAATTTAGAACATTGCCTAGGGTTTTTCTGAGAAGACAGTTTTTGGTGAGGAGGGTGAGTTTTCATGGGTCGAAATTTATGATTTAATGATGGGAAGTGTAAGCGAAGAGGAAGATCAATTTTTTGACACCCGTGAAGACATCACCTCTGTTTCTGATTTCGGTTCAGATTGCCCAGAGAATTCCGATTCCGAGCATGCTGCATCCGCTAGTTCCGTGCCGGCTAACTTTAGAGTTGAAGTTTGGATTAAAAACTTAAGTAGCCTTCGTGAACGGCGTAATAAATTTCTTAAATGGATGGGCTTAAGTGGAGATCAGACTCTCAGGGAAAGCCCCTCTAACATGGGTTGTGATGAAATTGAAGTGGAGACTGATAGAATTATGGAGGAGAGTGGAGCGGTTTTGGGATCATCAGCATTTGTTGATGGTTTTTCATCGAGCCAGTCTTCCGTGTCTTGTTGGTCAAGTGATGTCAGGGAGTTGTTAGATGGGGCTTTTGATGATAACTTTTTGTGTAGGATTAAGAATTTGGATGACGGGACGGAGTTCATTGTGGATGAAGTTAGTCAAGACGGCATGTTCAAAGGATTGAGGGAAGTAGGTTCTAATAAGTTGCTTACCATTGATGAGTTTGAAAGGAAGCTTGGCTTATCCCCACTGGTACAAAAAGCTATGCGTTGGGAGGTCAAAGCAGTTTCCGATTTAGGGCTAGAAAGAAAGCAGGGAAGAAAAGGATGGCTTAGGCGATTAGGTGCTGTTGCTTGCATTGTTGATAGGCAGGGTGATACTGCACGTATGATGTCCGGCAATTCTTATCCAAATGGAGTGGCAAGGATTCAAATGGTTAGAGTTCGATCTTACAAGAAGCGGTCGAAAGAGTTCTCAGCACTTTACATGAGACAAGATATCCAAGCCCATGAGGGTGCAATCTTAACAATGAAATTTAGCCCTGATGGTCAGTATCTAGCAAGTGCGGGGGAAGATGGTGTTGTGCGTGTGTGGCAAGTTGTGGAGTCCGAAAGTTCAGGGAATTCTGACATTCATGATGTAAATCCTTCATATGTCTACTTCCAAGTAAATAATTTTTCTGAGTTAGTTCCTCTTCATGCAGACAAAGAGAAAAAAGAAAAATCAAAAAGTGTGAAGAAAAATTCAGATACGATCTGTGTCATTTTCCCTCGGAAAGTTTTTCGAATCTTGGATAAACCTATCCACGAGTTCCATGGGCATTGTGGTGAGGTCTTGAACCTCTCCTGGTCAAAGAATAAGGTTACTAATTTCTCTGAAATATGAAACAACTTGCTATTATTTGTTAGAATTTACTTGGATATGTAATTAAGGTGTATGTATTTGCAGCATATTTTATCATCTTCTATTGATAAGACCGTTCGCCTCTGGCAAGTCGGATATGACGAATGCCAAAAAGTATTCTTCCACAATAATTATGGTAATATAGCTCAATCCGTGCCCGAGTTTTTATTCTGCCTTATTTCTGGTTATAGAAATGTCTACTAAGGTGAGAAATTGCCTTTGGCATTTTGGTTTGTGCCATTATAATTGTTATGAAATATAATCTAATTGATCTGTGATGCAGTAACATGCGTTCAGTTTAATCCAGTGAATGATGATTACTTCATAAGTGGTTCCATAGATGGGAAAGTACGAATCTGGGCAATTCCTGGTTGTCAAGTTGTTGATTGGACTGATGTGAGAGATATTGTTACAGCCGTGTGTTACCGTCCAGATGGAAAGGTTCCATGGAGCTTTTCGTCATTTTATTTATCATTTGGGTTTTAGGGTCTCCCGTTCATTGATTTTTTTTCCTTCAACAGGGTGCAGTTATTGGCTCAATGAATGGCAATTGCCACTTCTATGATGCTTCAGGTATATCTTTGTTTTGATGATACTTTTTTCCCTTAAAAATTGTTCTATAGTCAACATCTCTGGTAATGCTATTCTAGGATCTGGCGAATTTTACTCTTTGTTTAGCAGTTTATCGGAATACAGCGTGTTCTTCTTAAATTCACTAGTTTCAATACATTAAAATAGAATGTTGCGAGTATATCAATTGGAATATTCCTTTCATGTTGGAATTAGGAAACAAAAACTTTGATATGTAACCTTTTCTATTGAACAATCTATCTTGTCTAGAAACCTTACAATTATAGACTGCCCACAAAGACTAAGAGGAAAGGGAAAACTTTCTGCTGTCTCGGAATGTAATCCGGTTTTACTTTTGATGAATGAAATAACCATCTGCTAAAAATTAATCACAATATTTGTTAAATTATAAATTGGATTTTTTACTTTTGCAATCTGAAGGGCGATGTTGTACTTCCCTTGTCAAACCTTATTCTTTCTTGTTTGGGGTTTCTAATTTTTATAATCTGAAATTTTGTTCTTATGATTGGTAATATGGTAGTATTGAAAGGTGACTTATGTTATGTCCAACCTCCGAATGTTCTTTAGCAGACCTATAATAGAATGCCTTATTGAAAGTTAATTTGTTTGGAAAACGCTAACAGCACTGTTTACATGTACCAGATAACTGTCTGCAGCTTAACGCTCAAATATGTATACACTGTAAGAAGAAATCACCATGCAGTAGAATAACTGGACTTCAGGTATTGACCCTACATTCTCGTTTTCCGTATTCCTTTTTTTTTTTTAATCTGTCCACAAATATGCTTCCAAGCATTCAAAGGTTAATAATAGAGTGATTATCTTGTAGTTTTCCCCTGGGGACCCAGATATATTGATGATCACTTCTGCTGATTCACAAGTTCGAATCCTCAATGGTATTGACATGGTATGCAAATTTCGAGGTAGGTAGTTGTTCGCCAGACTTTATTTTTTTTATCAGATCCAAAGTTTGTTGCAACTTTGGTAGCTTCATAATTAATTGAAAATGTGGCAATGAAGCACTGAGATGGAAAATAGTGATGCAACATGGATATAACAAAGATTGATCCAAATTTGAATTACTGAGTTCTTAACACTATATTATTTGTTTTAAAATTTAATCAACATTCAACATGACTATATTAACACCCTTAAGTTTCCTTTTCTATCTACAGGTTTGCACAATGCAGGGAGCCAGGTATCTGCGGCATTCACCTTGGATGGAATGCGAATTGTTTCAGCAAGCGAGGATTCTAATGTCTATGTGTGGAACTATGTTAAACAGGATGGGCCGGTGCCCCACGCAAAGAACAATTGGTCTTGTGAACGTTTTTTCTCGAATAATGCATCAGTCGCAATACCTTGGTGTGGGATATCATGTAGAAACTCTACTGCCCCAAATATTTCAGGAACTTCACCATCACCCAAGTATTTGTCTGGCGGATGGAGGTGTAATGAGAATACTGGTGTATTGCAGCCTGAGTCGGGTGAGAGCTCCCAAAACAAATTGGGATTCTCCTCTTCTGAACGTTTCTCATTGGGACATGGATTTTTCTCGGAGTCTTTGCCCAAGGGTACTGCAACCTGGCCAGAGGAAAAGCTTCCCTTTCCAAACTCCATGATTGTATCTTCTTCAATTTGTAAATCTCAGTACAAGTTGCTTAAGACATCTTGCCAGAGTGCTCTTGGTTCTTCTCATGCATGGGGCCTCGTAATTGTAACAGCCGGCTACGACGGATGAATCAGATCTTTCCAAAATTATGGATTACCAATCAACAGTTAGCTTTATGGAGATGACAGAAATTTTGCTGTTTGATTTTGACAGAGAAAGGATTACATCACTCGTATTGAAGCTTTTGTCGTTAGGATTCGGGGCTAAAAATGATTGATGCTTGGTTGATTTCCCCTTTGTGAAATGACTAGTTTCAGGCGATATACAGAGCAATATCAGGATGTGGTGTTGAGCAGAGCAAGTACATGAGAACTGTATCTGATGTCAAGGCCAACCAAAGAGGTCTGTTACAGTGGATTCAAATCTTGGTTCTAGTTAACATTCTTTTCCTGTACTTTTAGCTCAGCAGGATGCCAAGATTAGGGTGGAAATGAGATGAGACAGAGCACGAGTTATTTGACATTGACTATTAAAGCTCAGTTAATTCTCAAATCAAATAGACTCGAGCTCGAATTTGACTCAAATTCTTAAAAAGCCGAAGTGAGTTATTTAATACTAGATTTGAAGACTCATAAACAACTCGAAAAAATAATATATTAATTTTTTAGATTTTTAAATTAAATTATCAATAATATTAACATTTATATTTTTGTAAAATATAATATAAGGTTTTTATGTACTTAAGATCCATGTTTGGGTTCGGGTTCGAGTTCAAGCTTTAATTAAGTTTAAGAATATTCGAGTTTAAATATTTTCAAGCTCGAGATTTAATTTTTGATTTTGAGGCTAGTTTAAAAGTTTTAAGCACGCGAGCTTTCGAGTTAAGTTTAAAATTTTTAAGCTTGCAAGTTTTAAAGTAGAGTGTGAACTAATTCTTTTTTATTTTGAGTTCGTGTTGAGCTTGATAATTTTAAGTTCGTGAGTTTTCAAGTGTAGTCGAGTTCATTTTTTTCATTTCTACAAGTTTCGAGTTAAACCAAGCTCAATGATCCTCGAACTCAACTTCTCGTTTACAGCCGGCTGAATTTAACTGGATCAAATATCATTTCTTATGATTGTTATATCTTTAATTTGTTGAAGTGAAAATCAAATCGGCAGGGTCATGCCAAGGAGTCCCATTTCAAGCTTTACGTATTGCTCTACAACTGGAGATGTATTGGAGAGACAATTATATATCCGGTGGACACGACTTACCTCTGATAAAATACAAGTGGGGCTTGTTTCCCTTGGATGGCTGAGTAATTGGCCAGGCCGGCATGGTGCATCAACTGATGAAGGTGTCATTTTCAAATGACTGGTTGGTCTATTTCCACATTCTTGAACGATATTTCTATGTATGGAGGATTGTTTTAACGGTGCCATACCGATCCTAACTTGACATCGTCGTCGTCAACCTTGGGTAGGGGTATTTACTCAACAAATCATTGGATGGTTAATGTTAGCCTCAACTCCAAGGTATTTGTTATGTGGTAGGAAATGCAGTCATTCACAAGCTTTGTATTTAATTTTTTTTGATTACCCATGAAATCAACTTGATTGTAGGAGAGGAACATGTGCATATAGAGGATTTGTTCCTTTTGTTTCTTTCCTTTCCTTTGGGTGAAGTATCATTGCAAGTGTATTATACTTGGTAAAAGGAAAAGAGAAAAAATAAATAAATAGAAATTACAGTTTTTGAGGATAAGTTACTAGGGGTAAGAATTCTAGAGTACATGCAAATTTGAATGAAAAATCTACTTTGACCGATGGTGAACCATTTTTACCTTTGGTAATAGAGTATGGAAACTTAATTTAAGGGATAACGCATATTCAAATATTAATTGTTTTGTTGGATTGATATTGTGAATTTAAATTATTCTAATTTTTAGTAGACGCTGATTTTAGTTTTCTAAATCGAAAATCTCAATGTTGTATTGTATTTTATTTAATTTTATTTATTACTCTATCCATAAGAATACAAATAAAACCTCAATTGTTTGAGCTAGAAGAGAATGTAAAAATATTCCTTAATATTTGAAGTTGTAATTTAGTGTTTATTATCATTCAATGAGTGTCTTGTATTTCATAAAAATTGGGGCTAATATAGTCCTTACGTAAAGATTGCCCTATCCAATTTTCGGGCATTAAGATACGTTTCAGTCGTGCATGATTCCCATAAGAGATTCGCAACATGTCATAAGATTCTCGTTCTTGAAAACCCGCACTTTCCCAAACCTTGAAAACAGACAAAATTCTAGAGCTACTCCTTGGAGCAAATACTTTTATACATACTTCTTCCGATTTGTCTACACCATACTCTATTCTCGTAAGATGATGCAAATTAGTTAACAGTCCGCCTAGTGCTACATCATAGGTACATTGGAACAGAGATAATTGTAACCATATACATATAAAATAACGACAATGGAATGCCAATCCTTGGGCTTTATTTGTAAAGTCTCTTCCTTGGTAATCGAAGCTCAAAGATTTATGAACTAGCTCATGTTTGACTAGCCAAGCAAATAAACAACCCTGCATCTTTTTTTTATCTTTCCCACACTTTTTTTTATTTGTAATTTGTATAAGATAAATATTGTACATTTACAATGAAATAGAATTTGTGAAGATTAATTCGTTGTTTGTTATTCTATTTCCGTGAATTGGGACAAATTCCTTTTTTCACTTATTTTGTTTTGCTGAATTTTATCTATGAATTGAAGTTACAACTAGTTAGTTTCGTTACAATAAAAGAGTTTTTCTTTTAGGAAAACACAAGCTAAAAAATATCGACAATTCGTTTCGAACCTTCAAATTGCTATTTCAATGAGTTTTTATTCATCTATTAAAATAAAATGTTTCCTAAATATTTTATATTTTACATTGAATTAACCCCTTCACCTTCAATCTCGATGATTGAATAAAAATGGGTTATTATAGTTTCGAGCAAGTAGTGCTAGAACATCTCAGTTCGAGTCCGAGTATTTTCTAAATTTTTTTTTCAAATAATTATTATCTCAATTGATTTTAGTTTTTATAAATAATAAAGTTGAATTAAAATTTTATTATTTTACAAATAATGGATTTGAGCTTGAATATCCAATTTAGTATAAACCTTACTTTTAAAATATTTATTAAGCCATCGATCTCGCTTAATTAAATGGAAAATCCTAATGGCGTTGTTAAACCCTAGTCTGGTTTTAATGCGGAACTCCGGTGGTCGACCGCAGATGCAGAACTCCGGTGATCGACCGTAGACTCTGTGACTGGTAATGGTGACCCGCTCGTGTTGGAGCGATCGGTCTACTCTTTAGCTCCCGAAGATCAACAAACATCAAAGAAATGCAAGATTGAGGAGTTTACGTCTATGCATGAATTACCTACTGAGATGGAAGGCATAACTAGTATTGACGGTTTGAACATAGCGAATACTTCTGATTCTCTTCTGGCTGAAAAGTACGTAGGAAAGAAAAGGATATTGTACGCTTCCATGGATGCGAAAACGGTGGGGGTCAACTTTGATGACAGTTTGGTTCGAATAATGTGGTTTTAAATGAGGATTGCACTGTTGATGAGACTGGCACGTTTCCTCGAATCCAATTCTCGGAAAAAGTCCATGACCAAATAGACTGAAGTATGAGTAATACGATAATTGTGAGGCTGTTAGGTCGATTAATTGGTTACGCGGCTTTATCTACACGCATCCATGCTTTGTGGAAACCGTAGGGTGAACTTCGGTTGATCTTGATAATGGATATTTCTTGTAACATTTGAAGACGAAAGGGACTACGATCCATTATGGTTGACTTAAATAAACCATTACGATCGTGTATTGGTATCGATAATTTTGTTCAAAAGTTGCAGTACATTCTTTATTTACATCAAATTGAAACTTGACACCAAGTTCATGAGACAAGCTAGTTAAAATACGAGCCGCAGGATGTCCAAGACGCCTGTGCCAAAGCTTATCTAAGGAACCCTTCATGGAAGCAGCAGTAACCTCAGCAACATGAACAGCAAAAACATTGCTATCCATTGCAAAGGAGTAAAGACCACCATTCTCTTCACCTTGAAGTAAAACACTATCAATCTTCTCATCACGAACACAACAACGATTAGCATGAAACTCTAGAAACATCATTGTCCCTAGCAAGCTTAGAGACCGAAAGCAAGTTCTTAGTGATTTGAGGCACAAATCATTCAGCAAAAGAACTCGAGAAAAAGAAGAGACAGAAGATCGACCAATTGTAATACCCAAAAAATTTGGATAATGACCAAAATGAAAATTTTGAAAGTTTGATGGTCAAAGTAAAAAATTGAGAAAACGTTTAGGGAATTAAGTGATAATTTCCTAAAAAGAATTTTATTTCATAAATGTATTTATTTAATGACCAAATTATAAATTTGGTAAAGTTTGGTGATCAAAGTATAAACTTTGAAAAGTTTAGGGACCAAAATGTAATTTTGAAAAAATTACAAAATGGGTCACAAACATAAGAAATAAAAATATTATTTCCACATTTTTAAAATATTAGAAAATAATATTTAATGGTTTAATTTCAGGTTTAACTTGAATTGTTTGATTAAAGTGACTGAATTACAATTTTTGAAAATTACAAGGGCAAAACGATAAAGTAGAAGACTAATTTGTTCATCTTTGACTATTATAAGATGATAAGGCTGATATTTCTCTGATTTGGATGGAAATAAGAATATGTATCTAGGTTCTTTGGTGATTATAAAGTTTTATTAAGGTTAAATTAGTATTTAACCAATTTAATGAATTTAATATTCATTACATGATTAATTAAAGGATATAAGCATGATATCAATCAAACATATCATGCCAAAGTGTTCATCTTCTCCGGCACAAGAACGTGAGAAAGCTTGAAGGTAAGAAAATATTTCATTTTCAATTTTGAGCTAATTCCTTTGGAATTGGAGTTATGTTGTGAGATAGGAAAGTGATCTAAGCGAAAAACGCTATCATTTGGTACCAATATTGCTTTCTAATTTTTCTGGATTTCAAAGATCCTAAATCTAAGAGTTTGTGTTCATATAAGGGATCATGAAATTGATGATGAATCTTGATGTTTTAGAGGTTGTAGATTCATTTTCAAGTTTGATTGATGGTTATAGCATGTTCAATCTTCCTAGAATTAATTCTTCAAAATTTGGCCAAATCATAAGTTGGAGAAATTTGTGTTTTGATGAGAGTTAATTAAGGATTTGATTGTATAGATGTTAAATGGTTGAGTTATTGTGTTTTATGGGTTTTTTAAGTTAAGTGATTTGAAGAATTGGTTGTAAGAATTGATGAAGAACCTAAGAATGAAGTTAAAGAAAACAATTTGGACTTTGAATCTGGCAGTAGGTTCGAAAATTCACCATAAATTATATAAAAATATTTGGAGGTTATTTTTATATATTCTGTTCATATCGATCTAGTTTTGTTTTAAATAAACGGGGATCAATTTCAAGGTGTATACAAAAATATATGAATTTTTAACCAAGGAAAGCTCAGAAAATTCGACAGCAGATTCTGCAAAACAGATTATGTTGATCAACTTTGAAAATTCACCATAAATTGTACGAATGAATTAGAAAGATTCT